TAAATTACCACCTCTCAGGGCTGGGATGATGGGGAGACAGACAAGGCAGGGGCCCTCCGGGGCAGGGAGCTTCTTCCCGAGGCGGTGAAGACGGTCTAAAAGTCCTGTGGCGGTGGTTGCACATGGCTGTGTGTACTGAAAACCACTGAGTCGTACACTTCGAGCAGGGGGATGGTACGGTGTGTGGATTAGATCTCAATAAAGCGATTTTAAAAGGAAGAACTCGTGCTACCCCTGACACAGTGCCGTGGTTCTGTGTTGTGAAGGCTGAGGAGCAGAAGCTACAAGGTGAAGTAGAATGAACAAGAGCTTTGGAACCTGTGCCTTGGACAATTGGTATAACCTCTTCGAGCCCCAATTCCTCATCTAGAAGCTGGGAATGATAAACCCTGCTTCACTAAGTTGGAACAGCATATGGGGAAACCCTCAGCCCTTCCGGTTCTAAAATTGCCTGGTTTTGAGGTTCGAGAGGTGGGAGGTATCTGTGGACAGAGGGATTTTCCTCGCATTGAAGTTGCATGCACAAAAGATTCTCTGTCCTGTGGGTCGCAGAGGACAATCAGTCAAAGGGCCAGAAGAAGAGCTCGGCCGTTAGCTGCCCTCCGTCCCCCGAGAGACCCCAGATGAGAGGGTCCAGGTGGATGTCAGAAAACGGGAGATCTGCGTGATCTCTTGAGACGACCCCATCGGCCTTGGAAACTGCTAGGCCCTGGAACTAAGGGAGCGGCTGATGGGAGAGCACGAGAAGGCCAGATTCGACCAACAACAAAAATATGGCTGCCTTTCAAAGGAGTGGGATGGATTGGATCATTCTGATGTATTTTTCCCAACTGTGAAGCATTTGCCAAAAATGCAGAGATGCTTTTCTGCAAACAACTGGGCTTTAGAAAGAGCTATTTTAAAAAGCCAAACAAGTGAAAATTTTAAAAATCAACCTTGGTAATAGAGGTACTTTGGTACTAGGAAATGGGGCTAACGTGGTGGTAAAGTCGACCCCTATTTCATAGATCGCATGTTTGCGAGTCCACCCCCTCACTAAAATCTGCTTGCAACCCCCAAAGCACTACTTGTGGTGCTTAGGGGTGTTCATCCATGCAAGCCAAGCAGTGAAAACCCTGCATTGTCTAACGGGAGAGTTCCCTGCCTGGATGGAACAGGCCCTCGGCCTTCTTGCCGCAGCTCTGGAACTCTGAGGTGTGTCCTTAGCGGTCTGTTTGAAGTCATGTTTTCTGCATCATCTTGCTTTCGGTTGGTGATTTCACAGCTGCCAAAGCTGCCAAGCGCAGTGCTGGAGGGCTGTCTATTGCTCCTCATTGCAAGAAGGCTGCCGTGTGCCTTCCTGAGAACGGGGTACGTTAGGTCCTTCTCCAGCCACGAGTGGTAGCACTGCCGGACAGGCGCTCCGTGTGAGTGAACCAACAGCATACACCATGAACAGAAATGCCTGTGAAACGAGGCGACGCCCCATCGGTCGGCAAGAACGTTGTGACCGGCGGCCCACAGAAACCTAAACCCGTACTTCCTCTAAGAGCACCAGTTCAGTATTTATGTTTAGTGCCTGTGGTGTTTTGTAGACTATAACAAAAATAAGGAGCCAACTGTACATCCTATGTATTTTTCACATCCTTTTATTTTAACCTGTTTACAGACGGGAAAATGAAGGTTATACATGTGAGATTATGTGACTTAGAGCCAACACGCGGACGTGATGGCATTTGAATCCTTTATCGTCTAACAGCCCAGAGCGGAAGGTGCTCTCTACCCTTGAACTGGGGCTGGCTCTTAGGAAAAGGAGGCCGCCCATATCGAGTTGATAGGAAGACAGAAGGGGAGCTGGATTTGGTCTGGAACAGAATAAATCAGGCTGAACGAGTGGACCACAATCTCCAGATGTCTGCCCTGCTCCGGCTACAGCTAAGACGGGGGACAGAGAGAAGCTCCAGTCACACAGAACCTGGGCACCAGGACGATGAGGAGCCTGGGACCAACGTGTTCAGAGAGAAACCACACACAAAACGGAAACTGCTCGGCGTGGAGGTGACAGCGTGGAGGCAAACGACAGGGACCTTCATGTATCTCAAGAGCTATTCTACGGAGGAGGCCCTAGATGGAAAACAGAACGAGGACTGCGAGGTGAAGGTTACAGTGGACGGGTTTTGGCTCGACGTAAGGGACAGTTCCTGACACTCAGCGCTCTCGCCTGTAAGCCGAGACTGGAAACTGGCCGTCGACAGTCGCGTAGGACAGTGACATGTTTTGTCGGCTTGCAGTACTTTTTAAAGGTGCGTTATTGGCCCTCTGTGAGGCATGTGCTCTTGTTCCGTAGTCTGCCACCCGTCCCTGTGTTTTCAGCTCCACGTCACTCCTGTGCTACTTGCCTTGCCCTTCGAGTCATCAGATTTAGCAAATCAAAACACAAACTACAGCTAAAGTAGAATTTCAAACAATGGCTTGTTAGTGTAAGCCTGTCCGGGCCGTACGTGGAGTTACACTGTTTTCACGTGTGTAACCCAGCTCACTAACACTGTCCTGCGTTTAATCTGGCATCCCAGTGCTGGTGGCCTACGTGGGGGCCCTGATGATGCAGTCTGAAGGAGCAAGCACTGCCCTTGGGAAATATTAGATTTATCTCAGGAGAGCCGGGATGGAAATGTGGTTAAAATAGCGTAAGTATATCTTTGCCCCACTTTCTTGAGATTCGTCCATTACAGAGTGACAGGACAATCAAAGGTGGGGAATGATAATGCCGAATAAACAAGCCAGGGGCCGCGCTGGGCTCTCGCTCTAACTGTGGGACGTTTTGGCCAAAAGCACTGGGACTGACAGGTAAATACAGTGGTTTTGACTTCTAATACAGGCTGCTAGTAATATTCCTTTTAGCAGACGGTTATTGGTGGGTGTGCAACTGGGGAGAATGGTGGCAATCTTTTTCTGGATCAGGGCATGAACCAAGAGGCGTGTAACAGCCTGAAACGATCAGTGTTTTTCTCTGTCAAAAGGCATCTTCTACTTCTCAGAGACTGTGGTTAGTCATCCTGACACTTCTGGTTTTCCTACCCTGCTGCCAAAACTGCTTTTCTGGCTGTTTTGAACAGACTGTGACCAACTCACAAGGAACATGGCAGCGGCTGATAAGAGACCCACTCAGCTAGCACAGCCTCAGCTAACGAGTGGCAGGGTCTCCGACGTCATGTCTAGAAACTGTATCTCTAAAGTGTCTGTAGTCTTTGGTTATCACCTGGTCATTCGGTGTCTTCCTCCCAGTCTTTGTTTGTGTCTAGACCAGCCAGGTGGTGTGGTGGTGAAGGTGTTGGATCCCACATGGCCAACTGTGCGGTTTGAATCCTAGACCCCTAGCTTGCAAACCACACTGGGCGTGGGTGCGTGCAGGATCAAAATCCCGAGAGGAGAGTGGAAACTGGATTGCAGTATGGCCATCTCCCTGGGGGTGGCTTTTTCTTTCTCTCACTGACCAGTGCATGCCCTATAGCAAATAAAAAAAAAATAATTAAAAAAAAAATGAGCTTGATGGGACTCGGGAGAACCTCTGGTTTAATGCCCTCATTTTGGAGATAAGTTAGCGTCACGGTTGGTGGGGACGAGGCCCAGATCTGGGGACTGCAGGCAGCTCAGGGGCCAGAGCTCTCTGCCCCTATGCAAACGGCATCCCTTTCCTCCTCTGGGGTTCATCGTGTCTCTCTACCTTACTCTCCCCATTTTCCACAAAGTTCCTCACTTGAAACAGAAAACAAACAAGAAAAAGCCGGGGAAGAGAAGATGAGTAAACAGGCCCAGGAGAGAGTACGAACGACATGCCAGAGCAGGAGCGTACCCGGGCACAGTGGGCACAGAGGGCCCGGTCCCTCTAATGTGTCTGTTTTGGGGCTCCTGGAAGACACCTGCGGAGCCTCTGGCTTCAGGATCGGCATGGGCATGACCAGGTTTGCGCCTACCGATGCCGCCCCCTCCATCACGCCCGTCCATCAAGATCACATAAAATCTCAAGGCTTACTCAGAGCAAACTCTACTTGAGAGAACACCTTTCAACTACTGCGGTCAGCACAAATTGTTGACTAGGCCCTGTCTCTACACAGACACCTCAACTGGAGAAGTAACTGACAGGAGTCTCTGGTCTTCAATGAGGGACTGCAGGTGACTTACGGCTCCACTATTTTCAAGTAATCATCTTGTTTCCACTGGTCGTCCTTGATGGACATTCTGTCTCAACTGCACCTTTGGGGCGACTGTGTCGTGTCTACCTTTAAATGTTCAGGGTCTTGTATTTCCATGATGTGTTCAAATCCCTAGCCGCTATGTGTGAATGAGTGAGCTGGAGACAAGGGAAGAGAGCAACGGCTTTGAAAGCAGAGCCATCTTGGGCCACGCCCTGGCTCATCTACACACTAGCCGTCAAACCTGGGAGAGTGTTTACTTCTTCCTTGTTTCTTTTTATTCATTTATGGGTTTTGGTGCTATTGGGCACATGTACTTGCCAGAGGGAGAGAGAAACCCCTGGTGGGGGATGGCCATGCCCAAAGCCCTTTCCCTCCATTCTCAAGAGTTTGGGCACACACATACATGCGCCCTCCATGGTTTTCAGGCCTCTGGGCCCAGGGCTTGAACTACACAGTCAGCCATGTGGGACCCAGCCACCTAAAGCTCCATGCCACCTGCTGGCCCAAGGTTTAAATTTTTCTGCCTTAATTTCTGTACATGTAGAAAGCAGATAAACCACGTGTCACGGGGCTGTGAAAGCAGGCCAATGTAGGCACTCCGACACGGGCAGCGACTGTTACGGTGCCTGTTGGAGGAGTGCAAAGCACAGACAGAAAGAAGCACAGCATGACGGTGTGGTTTTCTGACGTTTTAATGCAGTCCTGTTTTGTTCGGTACAAACATCTAGACTGGCAATCTGAGAGCTGCTCTGTGTAACTGCCATGTGGTGGGCACTACATTGCTGGTTCCTAAAAGCGTTTAAGGAGAGGCATTACAGTCAGCAGTGGGATGCATGCCAATGGTTTTATTTATGTGCGTATCTGGATCACAAGGCCAGCCAGCACGTGGCCCCAAGGAAGAAGCCTTTAGCCCCAGCCACGCCATTACTCCACAATGCGGCGGAAAGACTGCACTGCTGGGGAAGCCGCGCCCCAGTCGATGGGCTTCCGGTACTCCTTCTTGTCCAGGAGGTACTGCCTGCCGCGGTAGTTGGGCAGCTCGTAGAAAACCCAGACACCGTCCAGCACCTTACAGGAGTGGATCTCTCGCATGTGAAACTGCTCCATGATGGAAGGGCAATCTTCAGTGGTTTCATACATCTGACCATTAAAATCCCCCTTCTCAAAGATCTGAATCTTATACTGGCCTCCGCTAGGCTGAAAAGATACAGGGAAATGAACAGCAACCATTATGGAAATCGCCAGCAGGTCAAGAGGGCGGTGCAGCCCAGTGTCCACCGGGGAGGCTAGACGGTCTCAACTCCCACCCCCGCTGCCTGATAACCGGAACAGCTGACTTTCAAGAAGAATAAGCAATTCCTCAAATCACCCAAGAGGCAGAGAAAGAATTAGTGTGCTCGGTCTTGTGACGGACGGACCTAAGATTTTATTCAAGCCTCAGCAGCCATAGACAGACAGAAAAGCCCAGTAAGAGGTAGAAAAACCCCAATAAAACGTCCACGTATGCAGGCAAAGCAGAGCGAGCGGGAGAGAGCACGCCTAGCCCCAGACTCACCAGATGCACAGCTCTGCAGGAGCTGAGGCGGTCGTTGAGGCCCATCCAGCGCTGGTACTCAGGGTACTCGCCCTGCGGTAGGATGTACATGTACCCGGCGAAGTTGGGCCTCTCGTACACAGCCCAGGTGCCACCCTCCACGCGGATGGAGTTGCAGCGGCTCAGGTACATGTGGAAGTCTGCGCAGTCGCAGTCACAGTCATAGCGGCGGCCTTGGAAATTTTTGTCTTCGTAGAAAGTAATCTGAAGTGCAGGGCAGATAAAGACGAAAACTGAGGATCTGGGTGGCTTCACTCGCAGGTAAAATAAAAATTAAGATCACACCGGGGGGGGGGGGGGGGGGGAGGACCAGCAGGTTGCATGTAGTTGAGAGTCACATGGCTGACTCCATGGTTTGAAAAACACGCGGGGTGCGTGGGTTCGTGTGTGTGTCCAACGTCCCACCCAGGAGGAAAACAGAGGGGAAGGTGTGGTGTGGCCATCGGCCCGGAGGGTGATTCCTCTCTCTGTCTCTCTGCTGAGCTCACGTGCTTTATCGCCTACTTTAGAAATCCCTTTCTCCTAAATTTGGAGGAGAAAATGTGTAGGTCTACCTCACCTTGCAACTCTTGCTTTCTGGCAGACAACTTTAGTTATCAACAGTTGGAACAAGTACTTTGTGAAGCTAAAAATGAAGCCAAACAGAAGAGTGTTCTATAGAAGCCACAGTGTCAGACTCGGGTCAGGGGCTTCTTCCTTCACGTTCCCACAGCTCTCTGTACTCATCCCATTCCATTATAAATGAGCCATTCCTACGTCTCCCCTGCCTTCACCCTCCTGCCAGACTTCCGACGGGCAAGGAGCAGGCCTTCTTTAAGCCGCGATCCCCCGTGCCCAGACGTGACAAGCCTTCAGTCGATGTTTGAGGAAGACGAATGTGCTTCAGATGCAGGAA